GGAGTCCTTCCTCTTGCTTTGGGCTCCTGCCTGGCCCCCTAACTTCCAAATTATTATTTCTTGTCTCGTCTCTGTCAATTGTGCGCGGCCCCTCTTCCAGAACTTCTTTTTTTTTTTTCAAAATATATTTTATTGATTTTTACAGAGAGGAAGGGAGAGGGATAGAAAGTTAGCATCATTGATCAGCTGCCTCCTGCACACCCCCTCCCAGGGATCAAGCCTGCAACCCAGGCATGTGCTCTAACCAGGAATTGAACCAGAGACCTCTTGGTTCATGAGCCACACAGGCCAGGCAGGCTATTTTCATTTTAAATGTAGAAGTTATGGGAAATTATCCCAGGCTATTCTGGAGTCAGAGATATCAAAAAATGAAAGTGAGCTTTTACCCAGGTTTCCCAATTCCTACTTAGCTGACAGTAATGGAAAGTATCAAGTGGGAAGACTAGGATATGTAAAATTAAATACCTAAATGTCATTTTCCTGTAATATTTTAACCTATTTCTTCCCCTATAAATTAGAATAATACTTATTCTATAACATTGCTTAAAAATTAATATATTGGGAAAGGGCTTTGTAAACTATTAAGGGATAAACAGTAGAGATTATTACCAATGAACAGTATTGTGGTGTGTTTTTTTGTGATTTGGGATTTACTTCTGTCATTTTCTGAAGGAACACCAGGCTCCAAGACAACAGTAAACTTTTTTTTTTTTAAAATACATTCCATCGATCCTTCACAGAGAGGAAGGGAGAGAGACAGAGAGTCAGAAACATCGATGAGAGAGAAACGTCGATTAGCTGCCTCCTGCACATCTCCTACTGGGGATATGCCCACAACCAAGGCACACGCCCCCGACCAGAATTGAACCCAGGACCTTTCAGTCTGCAGGCTGACGCTCCATCCACTGAGCCAAACCGGTTTCGGCGACAACAGTAAACTTTACCTATGGATTCAGTCCTCCTGGAATCTAGTAAACTCCATTTGCTATTCAGCTGAAAAACATTTTCAGCCTTTCCAGTCTAATGCTTAAACACCATCATTTATGGCAATAGAAATTCCTGCACAGAACAAAGAAACTGAGATAAGTAGCCATAACTGTAGTGAGCAGAACCCAGGAGCCCATACTTGTCCAATGCTGCTGCCACAAAAAGCTTTCTTCTCGTTTTCTCCCACATTAGTCTCCTGGCTTCAAAGAAACTAATAGGAAGCTAGCTGACAAAGGGAGTCTGGGAAATACAGTTTGCAGGATTTAGACCCTTAGATCTCAGAATAAACAAAAGACCAGTGAAGGGGGATTCTTAAGAGGCAAGCACACAGCTCCCTACTAGCAACAGTAAAATAGAATTGCTAGCTAAAGGTTCAAATAGCTCATCAATTTAAATAATATGTTTACTTCAGATCCAGGGAAATGTGTAACTCAGACCTTGTACTGTAAGAAATGGAGAAATCTACCAGGCTGGGATCATAGCCTTCTCCCAAGAGGCAGTCATGTTCCTGCCTCTGACAGTCAAAGAGACAAAAGACACCAGGAGCTGTTACACACAGCAAATTCTTTATTTTCAAATTAACAATAAAATATCAAACACAAACATTGCTCTGTTTTCAAAGCAGGTACAAGGATATATAAAACAAGATGTTTTGAGTTTGCTTAACTCCAAATCCTCAAATGGGAAAACAACCTGAGAGACAGGAATGAAGAAACATGGCAGGGCCTGGTGTTATACAGGACACCAGAGCCTGGATCAACAAATGCAATCTCCTGCCAGGTGCAGGGGGGGCAGGGAGGCTAAAGGTGAGGTTTTTTCCTTTGTAGAAACCAGTCACATGAATTTGTTTCTAAAACATACAAATTTCCTGAAGGAACCCAAGGACTGGCAAGAGTTGAGATTCACCCAACCTCCCTAGTAATGAGTCCCTTGGTTCCTATGCTTAGGCCAATCAATCAGCATCTCTTGAGTGTACTTCAAATACTAACGCTGTCCAAGACAAAAGGCAGACAGGGTCTGACCACCTGCATCCCTCTCTGTGACAGTCTACTGAAACCAGACGTGCTCTGCTTTTTAATTCAAATCCCATTCTGCCACTGAAGCTTTAGGCCTGGGCAATCAAATCATCAACATATCAAAAGGGGTATATCCTCTGAGGAAAGGGGGTGGTCTTTCC